ATACTGGTTTAACCAGCAGAAGCAGCAAACTGAAGGGCATAATAAAAAGTGCAAACCAGGATGGATAAAAATTGATGATTTTTAAAAAAAATTAAAACATCAGATTTTTAAAAAAATTTAAATAGTTTTTTTTTTATTTTTATCAAATGTATTTCAATAAAATGCTTTTGGAGTAAAAATCTATCTAAAGATAGTTTTCTATTTAAGGTACATTGACAATTTAGTTTATTCAGCATGAAATGGAGTTTAGTTCTGTAGCATGAGGGTGTATATTCTGCAATATTGGAACTGATTGCTGCATTGGAAAACCCCTCTTAGTGTTACCTTTAATGAAAGCCGAAATCCTGATTACCTCTCAGCCTTGAAATGAACCATATTCTGTTGTTCTACAGATCTAATTCCACACCGACTGTCGGTGAGTCAATAGCAGGTCAGAGGAGGAGCCGCTGCAGGACAGAGATGACAGTTGCTCTTTAAAAATTATTATTTAAATCAAGTTGATTTAAATCAGGCCTTTTTACTAGTGATTTAAATCATGATTTAAATCGATTTAAATCAGATCCACCCTGGTGCAAACTGGTAATCTCAGAATTTGACCTTCTAATTATTATTTCAAATGGATGGACCAGCGATAATGCATAAATTTAAAATATCATCTAGGGCTGATTTGACCAAATGCTGATTTAAAGGATGAGAACTTTTATATGAGGGACTTTTATATTTTTTATATTTTTATATGAGGGATGCAGTGGCTCAGTGGCTAAGACACTGAGCTTGTCGATCGAAAGGTCGGCAGTTCAGCGGTTCGAATCCCTAGTGCCGCGTAACGGGGTAAGCTCCCGTTACTTGTCCCGGCTTCTGCCAACCTAGCAGTTCGAAAGCACGTAAAAAATGCAAGTAGAAAAATAGGGACCACTTTGGTGGGAAGGTAACAGCATTCCGTGCGCCTTTGGCGTTTAGTCATGCCGGCCACATGACCACGGAGACGTTCGACAGCGCGGGCTCTTCGGCTTTGAAACGTAGATGAGCACCGCCCCCTAGAGTCGGGAACGACTAGCACATATGTGCGAGGGGAACCTTTACCTTTATCTTACCAATAAATGTTCTCAGGGACTGTTATATTTAGCCACAAGCCCTAACCTCAAAAAAGTTGCAATTCATTTTGCTGTTTCGGTTTGAAAGCATTCTGCTTCTTCTGAAGTGGTGGCGGCAAAACAATGCAACGTTTATAAAATTACCATTCCCAAACAAAAATGTTTGGGGCTAATCCTTCAAAAGAACTTTGTCGATTCCACTCGGTAAACCCACACAAAGTCACTCCGTCTCATTTTTCATTTTGTTCTGAAGATCTCTGCATCAAAGCAAAACAAACAGGAAAAACTCTGGGGAAAGTAACTAGTCCTCTATGAAAGCTTTGTTTTCTTCTGGTTTTCATTTTTTTGGACCGACGCAGATGCAAAATCTTTCTTTGCGATGCAACAGTCACCGCAGGTCACAAAGAATCCTGGAGCTAGATTGGTCAGTGCTTAATAATTTTATTGTCGTTATGCAGAGGAGTGTTTTAATTCCCAAACAGAGATTACTGTTTAACTGGCCAACGCTGGGTCATATGCCAAGCAAAACAAACCAGAATGACCTGCCATAATACCCAACAGAGACTTTTGTTAACTAAACATATTAAAGCAACAGAGCTCTCAAGAGTTTAAAAATAGATTCAGGCCATTTTGTTTAGTTCAACTTTTCAATAAGGGAGCCCTGAAACCACTTAACTGTCAGGATCAATTGCTTGTAACTAAACAGATAACACAACTAAGCAAAAATTCAACTATTGGGGACGTTCTGTTTCTTTTTTATATATATAGATGGATATTTCACCACAATAGCCACCCGCTGATTATGATGCAAAGCTAACCCGGAGTTTATTTAAACTGGCATTTTCCTGGAAAATAAGAACCAGGAGACGCATAAATGAAGCCTTGAAAAACTGACCACAATAAAGTTTCATTCGGCAGCCTGGTTTCTGCCTCTTGCAGACAACTTATTTATTGTGTAAAGAAGTCAACGTCATCACATTTAATGAACTTTGTTTCGAAGATGTAAGCTAAGTGTTTGGCAGTTCAGTTGTATGCCTGCTAACTCTGAAACACACTGTACTGTGCTCAGAAGGATTTAGTGAAAAGCTAAGTGAGGATTTGGTCCAACATCTGTTTAAATCCAAAATACTTTGCCCAAACTGGACTACAAACCAGATTATTGGTATATTGTTATTATTATTATTCGCATGCGATAGCAATGTTTCTCAACTTCGGCCACTTCATGAGGTGTGGACTTCAACTCCCAGAATTCCCCAGCCAGTATGGCTGGCTGGAGAATTCTGGGAGTTGAAGTCCACACGTCTTAAAAGTGGCCAAGGTTGAGAAATAGTGTTCTACAACCTTTCCTAGCCTACAACTGCCCATGATTTATTGGCCTACAACCAGCATCATCCACAGCTAGATGAGATCTAGATGTGGAGGATGAGATCTGTAGTTCTGCTGACTCTGTCAGCCTTTTAAAGTAGACCAGACTAGGACACCGGAGTTACGCATGCTCATGCTACTTTTATTATAAAGTTACCATAGCAGAATCTTGCAGCTCTACAACTTCCTCCTCTCTCCCTTTATCTTCAAGAGAACTAGGGACGGTCATCTCTGAGACGTTTTCTCAACTTACATTTCTGCCCCAGTCTCAAATTTCTTTTATCTGACTGTTGTTTTGGTTGTGGCTCTTGTTTGTGGCGATTCTCAGTTATCTAGGTTGGGGTTATCCCAAAGGTGCTTTTTTAAAGACAACTGGACTTTGTTTTCCTTTAAAGACGTTTTGCTTCTCATCCAAGAAGCTTCTTCAGTTCTAGAGAAGTGAACTGAGAGAACTGAAGAAACTTCTTGGTTGAGAAGCAAAACATCTTCAAGGGAAAACAAAGTCCAGTTGACCTTTAAAAAAGCACCTTCTTCCTCCCAGATTATTTCTGTTGCCCACTGAATCTTTCAACTGTCTTACTAATGGAACCAACCAGTGCCTCGTCTTTAAACCACATGCTGATAACTCTTCATTTTCCAGCCCAATCATCTTTTGGGAACTCAGTCTTTGGGAGATCCTCACCGGTTAAACATGATCCCTTTTAGGTAGTCTTGGACTACAGTTCCCACTACCTGCAGCTGATTATGGGAGTTGTAGCTGAAGATGACGCCTCTCAAGCACTCTGGCAGACTGCCCTTCCACGAGGGAGAGAGTCATGTTTTTAAGGGGTGGAGCTCACTTATAACAACAAAGAGAACATTGCACATGTCTTCACAGCACACTGGTTTCCCAGGAACTCATGAGTGGAATGCCAAACTTACACTCCTTGCGATAGCACTGTCATGCAATAGAGATGGCTCAGTCCATGTTTTTCTTGCTGGTAATGGGTCTTAAACTTCAGACCCATCAATCAGGAGGATCAGACTTACATGGCACCACTCAATTTTAGAGAGGTGTTATAAGAGCAATGGAAGGGGACAGGAAGTGACAGGAAGGAGGACACATTTTAACTTCTTTTGCCCGATAGGCATTATCTGATATTTGACAGCACATTGTGGGCACCATGACTTTCAAGAATGACTTTCAATTGTAACATGGCTAATTAAACAGCCACATGGTCAAGGGCATCTGAAGCTTGGAGAATACAGGAGAAACACTGGAATTGATGACCATGATTGAAGTCTATGAAAATTTAGAATTAGATGCATAATCTGATGTTTCCCAGTCTACGAAAGAATTTAGAGACATCCCTAAGCTTCAGATAGTCTGACCGCCCCGTTATTTCCTTTCTTACTTCATTACTGCTCTCATTCTCCAAATGTTGACTTGTTCTCAAGTGGGTACATAAGTAAAGCAGCAATACAAAATGAGTTAAAAGCTTAGGAACATTACAGAATCATTGAACCTGGGAGATTCAACTACTAAAAGCTCGCATCACCTTAAGCATTTTAGATCATCTTATCACCCATCTCCTCCCACTTATACTGTATGACTGTAACCTTGTTGCTGGTATCCTTAAGATTTATATTGACTGTTTCCCTATGACTATCATTAAGTGTTGTACCTTATGATTCTTGACGCATGTATCTTTTCTTTTATGTACTCCGAGAGCATATGCACCAAGACAAATTCCTTGTGTGTCCAATCACACTTGGCCAATAAAGAATCCTGTCCTGTCCTGTCCTGTCCTGTCCTGTCCTATCCTGAACCAGCTGCAGAGAAGTTACAGTTCTCACAATTTCCAATCCATAAAAGAAAACTCCAGGCCTTTGGGGAAAAGGGGATGGTGGTTGTTATTATAGCCCCCAAAATATTTGGCTAACCTATACCAGGTTAAGAGGAGGCCAGTTGGGATTGGCATCTTGAAGCCAAAGGTAAAATGTGATCAACTACGGTAGGGATGAAGCCTAACAAATGTTTTTTGCGGGGTGCAGCAAAACTGGTTGGTTCGCCCTTCCCCTGCTGGTTATTTCGCTAAATTCAGCTGGCAAGATCTCCTGCCCGCGATGACGCCACAAGCCAGGAACAAAAAAACAAAAGGCATAATAGCAGACCTGGGCGCAAACAGACGTGCGCTCGGGACAAAAGCATCCTGCATTGTTCCTGGTGGCACGGTTGCTATTTTTTTATTATTATTATTATTTTATTTTATTTTATTTTATTTTATTTTATTTTATTATTTTATTTTATTTTATTTTATTTTATTTTATTTTATTTTATTTTATTTTATTTTTGCAAATATATATTTTTTTTGCAAAAGCACATATATATTTATATATATCTAAGCCTCCGATCCTAGATCCGCTTCAACCCCCTTGCTCAATAGCTCCTGCCCCGAGTGTCCCCCCCTGCAACCTCCACGGCTCCCACTCCGAGGCTACCTACCTTAAAGCCTTTGGGGACCTTTCGCAACCTCCCCTCCTCCCCATGGCGCATCTCACCTGTTCCTCTCGTTGTCGCAGCCGCCGTGCTCCTTCCCGTCCAGGAACCTGGTCCAGCCATCCGCCGTCTTCACCCAGTTCTGGCCCGGCGATCGCCAGTCCTGCCCCAGAAAAGGCATTGCGGGCAACCGAAACAGTGGTGTGTTGGGGGGTTTATTTAACCCGCCGGTTAAATAAAATAAAATAAAATAAAATAAAAGGCGCAAGAGAGAGAGAGAGAGCCGTGGGCTGCCTCCAAAGCAGAAGGATGCTCGGTAGCCAAAAGGAAACCCGGAGATGCCTCCTGAGCTGGACGGCTTCGTGGTTTTAGGACGCCGCGCTTCCCCTCCACCCCCTTGACGACGATCAGGCCCCTCGGATCGCTTCTCTGCCCGGGCTCCGGCCGCGTCTGTATTTATCCGGGCCAGCTGGTGGCTCTTTGTTGCCGGAAGAAGCGCGCAAACTCCGCCCCGCGCCCGGGGAGGGGAGAGGAGAGGGAGGACACGTGTCTTTGTTTATGGCCGCTTCTCGGGAGCCGAGAGCGCAAGCCTGTCCGAGGGTGAGGAGGGGAGGGGGTGGCAAAGGGGGGGGGGAGGGATTGTTGCTTTGGCCACGGTTGCTTATTGCACAATCCTAGGAAATGGAAACTTGGCCTCGCTCAGCTGCCCAGTCTAGGTATTTTAAGACATTCCTCCCCCCCACCCAAAAGCAAAGTTTTGAAAAACAACAACAACAAACAAATAAACAAAGGGAGGTTACTCTAACACAGTGGTTCTCAACCTGTGGGTCGTGACCCCTTTTGGGGTCAAATGACCCTTTCACAGGGGTTGCCTAACACCATCGGAAAACACATATTTTCAATGGTTTTGGGAATAATTTTATGGTTGGGGGTCACCACAACCTGAGGAACTGTTATTAAAGGGTTGTGGCATTAGGAAGGTTGAGAACCACTACTTAACATGTAGTGCACCTATGGTCCTGGTATTATTATGGTTAGTAGAGCTCTGATCCACCCTGACTGCTTTTTAGAAGGCCAGATCCTGAAGATGAAACTCAAATACCCTTTCACAGGGGTCGCCTAAGACCATCGGAAAACACATATTTTCAATGGTTTTAGGAATAATTTTATGGTTGGGGTCACCACAACATGAGGAACTGTATTGAACGGTCGTGGCATTAGGAAGGTTGAGAACCACTGCTCTAACACGTAGTGCGCCTATGGTCCTGGTATTATTGTGGTTAGTAGAGCTCTGATCCACCCTGACTGCTCTTTAGAAGGCCAGATCCTGAAGAGGAAACTCAAATACTTTGGCCACCTAATGAGAAGGAAGGACTCACTGGAGAAGAGCCTAATGCTGGGAACGATTGAGGGCAAAAGAAGAATGGGACGATGGAGAACGAGGTGGCTGGATGGCGTCACTGAAGCAGTCGGCGTGAGCTTAAATGGACTCCAGAGGATGGTAGAGGAAAGGAAGGCCTGGAGGAATGTTGTCCATGGGGTCACGATGGGTTGGACATGACTTTGCAACTAACAACAACAACAAAAGTAGGAGTTGACCAATGGAGTTGACCAATGGAGATTCTTGGTCATTCAGGTGCTGTGGGAAGCCCCCCACCCCACCCCCAGAAGAATGAAATGTTTTGGGAAATATATATTTTTTAAAAAGATTATTATATTTCCCCAAAGGGAGAAATGGAGAAACGTGGTCTTAAAGACAGAAAGCAGCTTCCCAGTCTTTCTTACTAGCCCACAGCAGCTGCCAGCACTTAAGGAGATAAAAGAGCTTATTGAAGGAAGAAGCCAACTATCTAGATGGCTCTGTTCAGAAGCAAAGCAAACACTGCCAGGAGAAGCCCGTTCAAGACAGGATGCCCCTTTCAAGAGCCCCTAAGTAATTTGTTGCTGGTTTCTTCCAGCTTGTTGTCTGTTTTTCTCCCAGTTTCCCAGGCCACTTCGTAATTGAGAATTTCTTGGTGGTCTCCATCATCCAAATATTAACAGAATAACATGGTTGGAAAGGACCTTGGACAGTGGTGGGATTCAGCCAGTTCGCACCTATTCGGGAGAACTGGTTGTTAACTTTCTAAGCAGTTCGGAGAACTGGTTGTTGGAAGAAATATTATCCCCCCCCCCCACTTGGGGGCTAATCCTGTAAGGAAGGCAGGAAGGAAACATTCTGGTGTTGTTTCTAGCCTAATCTTGATCGCCTTGCTTACAGAAACTGCCTCTCCAGTTAACCCTTATTACATTGTAACAGCTAAGGCGAAGCGCCCATTAACGTAATGTTGAGTTGGCCACGCCCACACGGTCATATGACCACCAAGCCATGCCTATCCAGCTGGTCATTAGGGCAAAGAACCGGTTGTTAAATTATTTGAATCCCACCACTGATCTTGGAGGTCTTCTAGTCCAACCCCCTGCTGAAGCAGGAGACCTTATATCATTATGGACAAATAGCTGTCCAATCTGTTCTTAAAAACCTTCAGTGTTGGGAGCACCAACAACTTCTGGAGGCAAGTTCTTCCACTGATTAATTGTTCTAGCTGTCAGGAAATTTGGGAGTTATCTGGAGCTCTTCGTTTCTGCAAAAATAAGTATGGAAGATGCAGTTTTATAATACATAAATTTCCCAACTAATGTTCATCTGATGATGTTCCCAAAGGTCAGATAATATTTTACTTGAAATTCTCAATGTAGGAACTTGGGGTGCCTTTTAAGAGTGATTTTTTGGGGAGGGTATCAAAAACTAAAATGGATTTAATTTATCTTTATGTTTGTATTAAACTATGGATAATAAGATTTATTCCTTATATTTATTAATTTTCTCAACCTCGAGAACGTGAAAATATTTAGACTTCAGCTCCCAGAATTTCCCAACCAGCATGGCTGTTTGGGGAATTCTGGGTGCTTAAATTCACAGATCTTAAAATTCTGATTCAGAAGGACTAAAAGCAAGAATGAAACCTTTGGTGGTGGGCAGTGAGGAGGCCCCCTTTGGCATCAGATTGGGAGAATAATCTTTCTGCTTATTGTTAACTGTTTTGTCTACAAGGAAAACAGTGAAACTTTCATCACACTTTCAAGATTAGTAAAAGATTGTGCTTCCTGACTTCCTAACATACAGTCACTCTCATCCATGCCACAGTAGTTTCAAGATGTCACAAAAGTGTTCCTTGTTGCATCATCGCAGGGAAAAAAATAATTCCTCCCTCTGGGAAGAAAGTATTTGTTTAATGGACTTCTTTTATGTAGCAATAAATTGAATAAATGTGCATGGGTCACGAGTAGAGTTTCTTTTCCATAAAATTAGCACTATGCCAGAGTGCCTGTGCAAGGGAAGGAAGTTACATGTTTGAAAAGTGATGTCTGAGTTTGGACATTTAGATATGTTCCTGAGCTATCCGAGGCTTGTTTGTAGATAAGGTGTTCTCTGATTGAGCAACAAATGAAGGGGTGTGTTGATCCTCCCCTGTTATCATTGAGTGGGCAGAATCATTCACACACCATGACATTCTATCCTGTGTTACTACAGGAATACAGAATAACAGAGTTGGAAGGGACATGGGAGGTCATCTAGTCCAACCTTCCCCCTGCCCTGCCCAAGAAGGAGACCTTACCCCCGTGATGGTGAACCTATGGCACGCGTGCCACAGGTGGCACGCATAGCCATATCGGTGGGCACACGAGCTCAGCTCCGGCGTGCATGCGGATGCCGGCCAGCTGATTTTCAGGTCTTCTGGGCTCACCAGAAGTAAGGAAACAAGCTGTTTCCTGCCTCCAGAAGGCCTCGGGGGTGGTGGTGGGGAAGGCCCGTTTTTCTCTCTCCCTAGGCTCCGGAGCCTTTCTAAGAGTCTGGGGAGGGCAAAAACGGCCTTCTCCATCCCCCAGAGGCCCTCTGGAGGCTGGAAATGGCCCGTTTGCCAACTTCCAGTGGGACTGGAAGTTGGCAAAGGGGCTGTTTTCAGTCTCTGGAGGGCCTCCGGGGCATGGGGGTGGGGAAGGTCGTTTTTGCCCTCCCCAGACTCCCAGAAAGGCTCTGGAGCCTGGGGAGAGAGAAAAATGGGTCCACCGGGCCATCGTGTGCAGGAGTGGGGTGGGCCATATGCGCGGAGGTGGGGCACATAGAATTATGGGTGTGGGCATGCCCGTGCATGACCCCTCCGCGCTCCCCCCCCACTCCTGGCACACAATGGCAAAAAGGTTAGCCATCCAGTCTCTTCTTGAAAGCTTCCAGTGAAAAAGAACCCACAACTTCTGAAAGCAACTTCTGTTCCATTGGTTGATTGTTCTCATTGTCAGAATATTTCTCCTTATTTCTAGATTGAATATCTCTTTGATCAGTTTCCATCCATTATTCCTAGTCTGGCCTTCGGGTGCTTTGGAAAATAGGTTGACCCCTTCCTCTCTGTGGCAGCCCCTCAAATATTGGAAGACTGCTATCCTGTCTCCCTTGGTCGTTCTCTTCACTAGACTAGCCAGGCCCAGTTCAGGGGTGGGTTCTACTTACCTTTACTACCAGTTCACAAAGGGACTGCGTGCACAGTATGCGCCAAAAGGAGGCTTGGGAAGGTAAGTAGAACAGCGAGGGGGGGGATCAGCTGTACCGCGTGGTTTAGCTTTGCTAGAAAGCAGGATTTCCTGCTTTCTAGCAAAGCTAAACCGCGTGGCAAAGCTGATAGTTGGAAATACCAATTAGGAGGAACCAGTAGCTTTTTTTAACTACTGGTTCAACCAAACCGGTAGCTTCGCCTGAACTGGTAGCTTTTTTTTACCTACCAATTCACCCAAACCGGTAGCTTTTATCACTACCAGTTCACCCAATGGAGCGAATAGGTAGTATTTCACCCCTGGATACTGTCCATCACAGATAACTAAACTCAATATGATTTACATATAATTTCTCCTGGAATGAAAAATAATGAATTCAAATGTCCTTGGAGTTCTGGAGATAGTTGGCTGTCTCCCAACTTCACTTCCACTTTTGAATCATGGGCTAATGAATGGACACTTTACTTTTTATACTTAATTCTGGCTGATTAGAGAAGTCACCTACGTAGCTGTGAGTCACACATGGCCACATTTCTTTCACCATGGAATTCATATCTGGGGAAAATATCCAAGATTCTTGTGAGCAAATCTAACCTAAGGAGATGTAATGGTCATGATGTTGATCGATTAAAACCCAGCTTGAAGTCCATCTACTGTTGGTAATGAAAGCTCACCAGTTGGTTGTGGAAATAGTTAGAGGAAGGAGTGCTACATACAACATGCTGAACTTCTGGAGGATAAATGGAATACAAATCTTACCAAGAAATAAAATAAAAATATATTTATAAAATATAAATAAGTATTTGTTGAGCTGTGTCCATGCAGGACTTCTTTGGTCTCCCCAACAACAACCCTGTCAGGTAGGCTAGAGAGAGAAGGGGGAGCCCCA